AAAAAAAAAAAGAATAGAAGTCAAAATCATTATAATAGTCCATAGAATCCTACACAACCTGTCCTGTGTGCCCCTTCCCCAACTTCAACTCCTACTTTCCCACCCCCCTCCCTTCCTCTACCCTGGCAACCCTGGCCTTGTGACTATCTATACTTTTTCAGGTCTTTGGTCAATGTCATCTTCTCAGTGAGGCTTCCCTGATCACCCTATTTTAAACTGCAATGCCCCAAACACAGCCATGCTCTTCTTATCTCATCCTCCTTCTATGCTTTATTCTTCTCTATAGCACTTAGTATCATCTGACACACTATATATTTTACCCATGTATTTGTTTACTGTGTAAGTCTCCCCACTCATCCACTAGAATATAACTTCCAGAAGGAAAAAGATTTTTGCATGTTTTATTTACCAATATATTCCCCAGCACCTAGACCAAGAACCAAGGACTACTAGCCCATAGCAGGAACTCAAATATTTATGAAACGTTAAATGACTTAAAACCTGTCTCCAGGGGTGCCTAGGTGGCTCAGTTGGTTCAGCGTCTGCCTTCGGCTCAGGTCATGATCCCAGAGTCCTGGGATCGAACCTCGCATCGGGCTCCCTGCTTAGCGGGGAGTCTGCTTCTCCCTCTGCCCCTCCCCCCGCTTGTGCTCTCTCTCTCTCTCTCTCTCTCGCTCACTCTCTCTCAAATAAATAAATAAAATCTTTAAAACATAAATAAATAAAAAATAAAACCTGTCTCCATTCTAACACCTTCATGATAAATTTGGCTAACATACTCTTCTAGGGTAACTAATGATTTTGAACATACTTCACACCATGTAAAGAAGTACTTCTTTTTTAAAGATTTTATTTATTTATTTTAGAGAGACAGAGAGAGCATGAGCAGGGGAGGGGGGAGCAGAGGGAGAGAGAGAATCCCAAGCAGACTCCCTGATGAGCACAGAGCCTGAGGTGGGACAAGATGGGGCTCGATTCCAGGACCCTGAGATCATGACCTGAGGCCAAATCAAGAGTCGGATGCTTATCCAACGGAGCCACCCAGGTGCCCCAAGAAGTACTTCTATTTGTAATTCAAGACAATATTCCAGAGACAACATCTTAGTTTCTGTTTTGATTTTTTGCAACCTCTTAGTTTTCATATTTTGGGGATATGGTAGACAAATACACGTAGACCTTACCTAGTTAGTCCTTTTACGATTCTGTACTTAGAACATATTCCTCTTTGTCCTTCCAAAGTCCTATTATTCTTAGTTTAGCTTCGGTAGTAGCTCATCTAACCTTTATTTATTTACTCCTACCAAGAATAGTAGATACATCCAACCACTAGATAGCTTGTCTTAGGCAAGCCACATAATATGATCTGTCATTAACAGATCTTCACTTACAGAATGGGGATAATTTTTTTTTTTTAAAGATTTTATTTATTTATTTGAGAGAGAGAATGAGAGACAGAGAGCACGAGAGGGAAGGGGATCAGAGGGAGAAGCAGACCCCCCGCTGAGCGGGGAGCCCGATGTGGGACTCGATCCCGGGACTCCAGGATCATGACCTGAGCTGAAGGCAGTCGCTTAACCAACTGAGCCACCCAGGCGCCCCAGAATGGGGATAATTATTATACCTCTTCTTACTTCATCAGTTTACTGTGACAACAAAATGAGGTAAGGTAAAAAGTGCTTTTGTCTTAAAAACTTTGGTATAATTACAACGATTATATCTCATTTTTAAAAAGCTGCTCTCTCAAGATGTCCATCAACAGATGAATGAAAAAGAGAAGAGGTGGTATATATATACAATGGAATATTATGCAGCCATCAAAAGGAATGAAATCTTGCCATTTGCAGTAACGTGGATAGAACTGGAGAGTGTTATGCTGAGCAAAGTAAGTCAATCAGAGAAAGACATGTATCATATGACCTCACTGATATGCGGAATTCTTAATCTCAGGAAACAAACTGAGGGTTGCTGGAGTGGGGGGTGGGGTGGGAGGGATGGGGTGACTGGGTGATAGACATTGGGGAGGGTATGTGCTATGGTGAGCGCTGTGAAGTGTGCAAGACTGCTGAATCACAGACCTGTACCTCTGAAACAAATAATACATTATATGTTTTAAAAAAAAAAAAAGGCTACTCTCATTGGGAAAACACTGATCACAGTATCTGTGATACACAAGAGACACTCAATAAATGTTAATTTATCTCTCTTTGCCCCTCCAATCCTTTTTAACTAGTAACTAAAGGACATGTTAAATATGTGTTTACACTTGGCCTTCTCATTCACATCTGTATGTTGAAACTTAGCTCAGTGGCTGGCTGAAGAATAAATCAACAGTAAGACAGCACTACTAACCTATCATCAATAAAACCTATCATCAAATAAAACACCTTGGGCTCTTCTGCACAGATATATGACCACTAAGACAGCCCTTCTCTTTCTGATCACCACTGTGATCTCCTATTCTGACCAGACTCACATATGCAGGGTTTAACTCTGCAACAGAGTAAATTTACTGGGACTAGGCCCTCAATGCTCTACCAACTGGCTAACTAAACAGACAGGTGACCACGAGGCAATATTAGCAAACAGATTTCTGTAGCTAGCAAGTTGATCAGGAAACTGACAAAAAGTACAATAGCAATTGTATTAACTCGCACTGGAAGGGGGAGGCAGACTAATGGTCTAAAGGACCATTCTCTAGCCTATCATTCCACTTAGGCAACTTTGCAACCCCTAGACACTGACTTTATCACTTCATTAATCCCTGTTTGTCACTGCCTACATTATCCTCTTCTCTCAAGCAAAGTCTTCCTTAGTTTGGCCCCCTATCACCTCTTCACCTGTTCCCTGTGAAATATCAGTAAGCCCCAACAGGGCCTCCCATTCCCACATTCCCATCAATGCCTGTACCTTGCTCTGCCTAAAAGTCCCTCTTCCACCTTTCCATACGTCTAACTCCTACTTAATCTTCAACTCTCACCATATCCACGAGACCTGCCCCACGCACTCTAACTCACACTGATCTCTTCTTCTGAAATCCTCTAGAATACTAATTGTCTGATTTCCTCTTGATTATAAACTGTCTTCTCTAGTTCTCTCTTCAGCAAGACTTTGCTAATACTGTAAGACCAAGGATGTGGATGTGCCTCTTCCACAAGGTATGAACTTTCTATCCCCTCTACCTGGAAGGTTCAGCCCACAGATATTCACATAGCTGGCTCCTAATACCACTCAGAGCTCAGCTCAAATGCCAGCTCCTGAGAGCTTTCCCCGACTATCTCATCCAAGATTACCTTCTCAATCACCTCCATTACCGGTTTACTTGTCATCATCTCCCTAATCACTATCTGAAATTAACTGATTCCTCTGTTTGTTTCTTATGTATACTTACCACTCTCACCCACACAAGAATGTAAACTCCATAAGAAAGGGGATTTAGCTTGTTTTGTTCATTGCTATAATCTCTAGTACCTAAAACAGTTCCTGGCACAAAGTAGTACTAAATACTTTCTGAATAACTGAATGAATGGGTTCCTATAACCTTTACTTTACCTATAAGAGTATTTATCATATTTTATTATATTAAGTTTTTTGATGTGTCTTTCGCAACTGATTGTTAAGATCTTTGAAAACAGGAACCACGTCTGCCTCCTCACCACTGTTTCTCAGTGCCAACAGAATATCCACACAGATCTGTAAAGTAATACAATGCGCTGTAAAGGGGATTAGGAAGAAAGTAGGGAGAGAGAAAAGGGAAAAGAGAGGAAGGGCTAGAGAACAGATCTGGAATAGAAGAGAGATTATCAGAGTACAAATGGATGCTTTAAAAGGAATTATTTTGAAAATGTTCATTTCATTTTATGAAAATTTATACACACACACACACACACACACACAACATATACACTGGTATGTTCTCAGTCATGATGTAAAATGTTATTTTTACTGTGGGTTACAACCCAAAGTTTTGAGAACCATATACTATAATCTAAAGCACACTTTATAACTCAGTCAGCTACACTGCATTTATTGCAATGTTTCTCAATTTTTATTCTTGAACCTTAATCTCCTTGAGCAATACAATACTCTCCCATCAGGAAAAATAACGGAAGATAGCAAGAGAAAAACTCATCTACTATTTCCTTCTGTTATCTAACAATTTTCATATGGATTATCCCTATGTCTCTAACAATCCTAAGATCTCTGAAGATGAAGCTGCCTTCTTCCTCTATTATTTCCCTCAGAGTGCTTAGCAAGATATAAGCACATTCAGTAAGTAGAGTAGTACCCCCTTAGCGGCAGGGGATACATTCCAAGACCCCCAATGTATGCCTGAAATCACAGAAAGTACTAAACCCTATATATAGTTTTTTTCCTATACATACATACCTATGATAAAGTTTAATTTATAAATTAGGCACATTAAGAGATAAACAACAATAACCAATAATAAAATAGAACTATTATAACCATATACTATAATAAAAGTTATGTGAATGTGGTCTCTCTTTCTCTCAAACTATCTTGTGGTATTGTATTCACCCTTCTTGTGATGATGTGAGATGATAAACTACCTATGTGATGACATGAAGTGAGGTGAATGACATAGGCACTATGATGTAGAGTTAGGCTACTAGTGACCTTCTGACAATACTCAAGAGGATCATCTGCTTCCAGATCGCAGGTGTCCAAGTAACTGAAACAGTGGAAAGCAAAACCCTGAATAAGCGGGAGAGGACTACTGTAAAAGTTAGGTTGACTGCCAGTTGCCCTCCTGGATAATTCCATTAAAACTAACAAAGATGACAGAAGCTAGTCTGCTACTCATTGGCATGCCAAAAATAAGAGAGAAAAAGAAAAACCCTGAGCACATTAAAAATCAAAAATAGGGGCGCCTGGGTGGCTCAGTCATTAAGTATCTGCTTTCGGCTCAGGTCATGATCCCAGGGTCCTGGGATCGAGCCCCACGCTCCGCGGGACGCCTGCTTCTCCCTCTCCCACTCCCCCTGCTTGTGTTCCCTCTCTCACTGTGTCTCTCTCTGTCAAATAAATAAATAAAATATTTAAAAATAATTAAAAAATAAATAAAATAAAAATAAAAAATAAGGGGTGGCTCAGTGGCTCAGTCAGTTATGCCTCTGCCTTTGGCTCAGGTCATGATCCCGGGGTCCTGGGACTGAGCCCCACTCTAGGCTCCCAGCTCAGCGTGGAGTCTGCCTCTGTAATCTTAATCTCCTCTTCCCCGCAACCCCCTCCACGCTGGTGCTCTCTCATGCTCTCTGTCTCAAATACATAAATAAAATCTTTAAAAAATTTTTTCAAAAATAAAATAAATTCAAGTACAACTTCATATATTAACAAGCCCTGCTGAATGCTACACTGGCAGAATCTAGCAGAGAATCATCTGGACCAAATTATGTTCTCTGAAGGAATGAGAAACAAAATAAGCCCTGCCTTTTAGAGCTTGTTGTAGGTAGTACTTTTTAAACTACGGTATTTCAAAGTGGACCCAAAGGTTAAAAATACAACACAGGGGTGTTATCTACTCCAGTAATTTAAGTTCACAAATTTTCAATTCATATTTGTTACAGACTTATCGTAAGGGAATCTTCATCCTTCCATACCTTTTTCTAAAGGTCTAAAAAGACTAGATGTTCATTTCATTCACAGGAATGGACCAATAAAAGTGAACTACGTATTCTGGTCTTTTGGTCTCATCAGCTAAAATGGAGGACTAGGGAAATGAGAGAATGATGTTCTCAAGATACTAAAAACTGGAAGAAGCGCCAACACTGTCCACTTCTCCATCTCTTGGCTTTTATTAAACTATCTGGACAAAACCAAATCAACCACCTGCCTACCCACAGCATTCATTATATCCTATTTTTAAAAATAATTTTTCTCATTCGTTCTTTGAATTCTTATTCACGGCAAGTGCGGTGCTAAGTGTGGGCATAAAGCCCCATGTTTGAAATACTCACAGCCCAGCAGACAAAACATCCAGTCAGTCAACCAGTACTAAGTGCCTACAATTCTGAAATAACTTTACTGCTTTAACAGAGGCAAGCAGATTCAAGTCAAACTTTGTTCATACCTGCCTTACAGTTCTCTGCTAAATGTATGTTTTGCTCTTGTTTTTCCAATCCGATTAAACCTTTTGCCAAGGCAGGGACTGTCTCCTCTTATAATTTCACACTGCCAAGCAAAGGGCTGGCACAAAGGACGAACTCGGCAAGTCTAATGGGAAATAACTGTAGAGGAAGAACCCAAGTCCCTGGCTCTTCCCAGTCCCCATCCTGTCGGAAGTCGTCTTGGCCTCCCTACTCTGATTCTGTATCAGTAGTCCCAGTCCCAAACTCCTCTGGGACTACTCCGGGGAAAACTGGAAACACATCTCCTACAAAGGGCAAATTCCAGGCATGTCTGTGGCTAAGATCTGTTCTTTTCACCCCACACCCCCACAGAAGAGATCACGAAACTGAAGGCAGAATCCCTTCTTTCTGACTCCTCCCACTCCCTAGGACAGGTCACCAGCCCCAGGGTTTTCCAGTACACTCCGATGTTAGCCTTGGGTTCAACCCTGGCCTCACCATCAACTAACTGGGTGGCCTTACGTCAGTCACCGGACCTCTCTCCGCACTTCAGATTCTTGACCTGAGAGGCGGAACTAAGGAATACTGCCCGGAAAGTGCTCGGCGCACACAGTAACTACTCGATAAAGGGAGGTATTATTCTTTTGAAAGGCGGCAGGATGACAAAGCCGAGGGGGCTCACACTGAAGGCCGGCTGGGGGGCTGGGAGGGACAGACTGACGCAAGCCAGAGGCCGAGCAGGCTTGACAGGGCGGGAAGCCGCGGCGGGCAGGGCGGGAAGCGGTAGAGGCGGGCGGGCGCCGCCAACTGCAAGGGCGGCAGCAGCCCGCGACCCCTTTATTACCTGCTCCCCCTAACGCGCCGCCCCCTCCCCGGCCTCTCACCTCGCTTGATCACATGCATCGCGGCCAGTGGCTGACGCGCTGACGGGATTCGAGACGGGGCTGCAGTTCGGAGGTGCCGGCGGGATCGAGGAGGTGGTAGAGTGCGAAGGGTCGGGTTCCTGGGGGCGCTGAGGTGCAAGGACTGGATTTGGGGGCCAGAGGGCACTTTCTTCCACGGAGCGGAGGCGCGACAATCCGAATCCCCTTCCCGCTCCCGCCACCCGAGACGCAAAAGCGGCGCGACGGAGCTCGAATGACGTTACTCGACGCTGCCAGCGCCCCGGCCCGTGGGCAGGGCTAGCATAGCCCCAAATCGGCCCTCACCCGTCGCCATGTTGAGTACGGGCAGGGCCTTGGAAACTGAGCCTTTCCAACGGCCACATTGGGTGTGGGCACGCCCGGCGGGAACGCGGTTCTCCCGCCGCCATATTGATTGTGGGCAACGCCAAACCTGGGGCCAGAACCCGGCGCTGCGCGCACAGCCCGCCAGCCCCGGCCCCGCCCTTCTCCTTGGCGGGCCCTGGCCTAAGTCAGTGTGGTTCAGGTATTTTTGAAATAAAAACCCAACCATCCAAAACCCTTTCTTGTCTTGACGACTGTTAGAATATAATAACCCGGGCGCCTGAGTAGCTCAGTCCCCCTGCTTCTCCCTCTCCCACTCCCCCTGCTTGTGTTCCCTTTCTCGCTGTCTCTCTCTCTGTCAAATAAATAAAATCTTAAAAAAAAGAGAGAGAGAATAACCCGACTGCTATCCGATGTGGGCTATAGCCTGCGACTCATAGCGGGAGGCAGCCGCGAGCCCCACGCTCCTAGAACGGAGGAAATCTGGCACTCAGTCCTTGGAAGAGAACCCTGCGAGCCCAAGGCGTTTGATTTTATTCTGACGGAGTGGGAGCTCAGGGAGAGTTTTGAGCAGGGTAGGGCCATGGCCCATTCGCTTTTATAATTATCCAGTGGATGGTGGCAGAAACAGGGTCAGCAATTAGGCCTTGTGGAGGCAGAATGGACAGTGCTTGGTGATTGAGGGGAGTAAGAATAGATAAGAGACGTAATATACAAGTGACATAGAAGCTTCTGATTTGGGGGACACAAACTTGATTTTCATGAAAGCTCATGTGGCATACCTTTCTAAAATCTTTCATCGGTTCCTCACTGCCCTCTAGATGCACCCCAAACTCCCTGTAAAGTAATTCTAAAAGTCATAGGTGATAGGCAAAGCCATAGGATAGATAGGGTAAAGATGGCCCAAAGATGGGGTTGTCAGATTTAGCAAACAAAAATAATGTGTTCCAAATGTTGCAGGGACATAATTACACTAAAAAAGTTTTTATCAGAAATTCAAGTTTAACCAGGCAGGCATGCTGTATTTCAACTGTTAGCCTCTCCTGAGAGCTTTGGGGTATGTGTATTATAGAGTTTCAGTTTTCCTTGGCCAAGGAGAAATAATCTCTTCTTCATCCTGTCTACTATGCCACAAAGAACACAATGAGAGTCAAAGCCAGCAGAGGTTAAAATCTCCTACATGCTTTATTGGACTTCAAAGAGTCTTATGAAATAACACAGAAAAACCATGTGAGGGTGTCCAGGGGGTACAAGGCAGTCTGCAGCCTAGCACCCTCCTAAGACCAGCCCCAGGTGCCTGCACCCCAGGCCCCAAATAGGATCCCAGAGTAAAGGCATGGGAAGGAGTGGGGCAAAAGGAAAATACCTTTACAGCCATAGCAAAAACAGGTAAGGGAGAGAGTTGTCTAGAGGGTGGGAAGGGTGTGGGGGAAGAGGTCACACAGCTGCCTTCACCTATACGGTCTTCCTCAGCCACCCCCTTCCCTAAACCAGCTGTGTCCTTTTTGAGCCTCTGGCCCAAGCTATGCAGTAACATGAAAATGGGGTCTGACAAGGGGAGTATGTGGTGCAGGCACTTGGGAAATTCAGGAGATTTCTTTTTTCAATTTAAAAATGTTTTTTGGTTCAAATGCAACAATATCCTGCCCAACAGCTCCAGGGCCCCATTAGAGCCCTGTATCATGGCTGAGGCTCCCATGGCCAGGGAAGCCATTTGTCTGAGCTCCAGCAGTTCTGATGCTTGGGGAGCATTTGGGCAGCACCTCTTACAGTCAAACCCTCCTGCAGTGTGGGGGAGCAAGGATAAGAAAGAGGCAGGTGTAGGTGAGAGAAGAGAGAAAAGGTGACTGCCCTGTAGCCCACAACTCTGGCATCTACTCATCCCCCAACTAAGAGGAGTCTCTCTCAACCTACCCCCTAGCCTAGCCTCTCTTCAAAATTCTCTAGTAGCTTGTTCTCTAGGAATGTGTTCCACTCCCCCATGAACCCCTGGAGGCTCAAGCAAGCTCCAGACCAAGTCTCCTTCTGGCCCACCACACACAAAAAAGAACAAACCTCAAATATTAGGCCCTCGGCCCCAATCTGAGGCAAACAGAACCATCGTGGGTGGGGTGGAACAGGTCTGAGGCACAGATGTCGGAAGTTACTCCTATCTTCCCCCGCCTAGCTGCTAGGGGAAGTTGGGGAGTGGTGCGAGGGAGGAGCCTGAAAGCAGGAAACAGAGAAACAAGAAACCAAACTTCAAAACTGGGACAGCAGAGACAGAAGCTGGACCCCAGAGGTGGAGGTGGGAGCTGAGGGGACAGCAACTAAGACATGCACTGAAGTAGAGAGGGGGTGGCAGCCGCAGCCCATGGCTGGGAGAAAGGCAGGGCAGGCAGGCCATGGTGGTCAGTTAATAAATAATGTTGAAGGACCCAAGGATGAGGGGGGCAGGTATGTACAGTGCCCAGGCCCCTGGGCCAGCCCCTCCCAGGCCCCCACTCGAGGGGCCAGGTGTCTTGGAAGGGGAGGAAGGGGAGGCAGAAGACCAGGGAAGGACAAGCTGTCCCGCCACTGCCACTCTCATCCTGCCTACTTCTTAAGAGGCTTCTTAAAGATTTTGAGGGGAAACTTCTTCCGGCCTGGGCTGGAGTCTGTCTCCTCGCCAATGGAGCCATTATCCTCCTCAGCCACAGCCTTCTTGCCAGCCAGATGGGGAATGCGTGTATTTCGGCTAGCCTGCAGGGCTCGGCTGTCCCCAACTGGAGATGGCGTGTCTGGGTCTGGGGAACTGGAGCTGTGAGAACGGGAAGAATCCAAAGGTGGAGAGCCACCAGGTGGGGCTGAGGGGCTCAGCTCCATCAGGCTGTGGGCCTTGTCCAGCCCATGGTTCAGCGCCAGGAGTGCCTTCTTGGCCAGGGCAGGGCTGTCGGGCAGTTTCTCCACCAAAGACCCGGGGTGGACCCCCTCAATCAGCCGGTGGCTGCCATTGGAAGTCATGGCACCGAGGGCCTCGTCTGCAGCACGGACCATCTGAGGAGGCTTGGGGGCCACACGCTGGCGGTCACTCATGTGGAGGGAGGACTCCGAATCGGAAAGGGTCAAATCCCTGCAAGACAGGGCAGAGAGGAAGAAAGGGACACATACAGGAGAGGGGGGTGGGGGAAGGTGTAGAGGAGAGAGGAACAGCACGAGAAGATACGGCGGGGTGGGAAATGAGTATGCAAAGAGGGGTAGGAGAGAGAAAAGAGGATAAACAGGCAGGTAGGCAAGAGAGAAGGATGAGAAACAAGGAAGTTGAGTAGGCCATAAGTACAGGACAAGAGATGAGGCAGGAATAGGGAATGGGGACAGGTTGGGGAAGCGACAGGGAGAGGAGAGTAAAATCAGGGAGAAAGAAAGGCAAAAGGAGGAGCAGGTATATATAAGAAGGACCACGGGGAGAAAAAAAAAAGAAAGAAAGGGAAAAGTGATGGAGAAAGAAGAGACAAAACAAGAAGCAAAACCAAAAGTCATTACACCATCATCTATCTGGCAAAGGGCTTTCTAATGACGGGCCCCCACCCTGCTGAGTGGCCAGGCCCTAACCCGGTGCAACCATACGCTTAAATCCCCCCCCAATAAAATCTCTGCCTTTCCACAGCTGGCTAGATTTCTTAGGACTCAACCCTAAGCCGACACAGAACCCACATATTGCTCTGAGTCACCATTGCCCATGCCTTCCTCCCAGACTGACTCCTGTCACACCCCAGGACACATCCAGTCTGGGCCAGGCCCCAAGGAAAAGGGCACATGCGGTAAGTGGGCCTGACCCAGGCTGGGGAGGAGAGGGTTAGAACAGCCTTGCAAACAATCCCTTATGCACCCCAAAAGGCCAGGACGCTGCCTCTTTCAACCCTCTCACAGGAATGGAGAGGGAGAGTGTAGACAGGTGCAGAAGGACAGGACAGAATGTTGGTCTTTAAAGGAGCAGTGGTTGTGAAGAGCTGCCACTAGAAGTCATAATTTCCATCTCTGCCTGAGGCTTGTTGTGTGACCTTGGACAAGTCATCTAACCTTGCTGGTCCTCAATTTTGGCCAAATGAAGACAATACCAACTCAATTACTTTGCAAGGCTGTTTGGAGGATCAAATATGTTGGCAAATCACTTGGAAATGTAGGAAGTATTGTGGGAATGAAGATGATGAGGCCAGTCAAGCTGGAAGACCCATATGTGGGCCAATCACAAGAGGCTTCTTTGCAAGGCTGAGTTATGGGGATGTGGCACTGCAGACTGGACATGCACACACAGAAGTTAGTCCAGAAAGCTGAGACCCTCTAAGGGGCTGGCTATTCCTAAGAAGGCCCACAAACCAATTCTGAATGCCTCCTCTCCTGCCTCTACAGACAAAAGGGTAAATTTGGGGGTCCCCTGCCAGTCCCATAACTCTCCCTCTGCTCTCCCAGAGGAGAACCCACAGTAGGGGCAGAGGAGAGGGCTAAGGGAAACGCTTCAACATCCAAGTCAGGAAGCAAAGGGGAAAAGTCAGGAGTGGGAGGGGAGAGTGCCATAGGACATGGAAAGGAGGAGGCTGTGGGTCAAAAATTAGGAAGGGCACCAGGCCCCGAAAATAAGCAAAAGCAGAAGGTTGGCTCATAGCTACTGGACGGTTAATTCTCAGTAGGAAACAATTAACTAAGCAACTACCCCGTGGGCCAGTATCTTCCTGGAGACAAGGAACAGCAGAGAACAATCCCAGCTCCAACTCCATCCTACAGATACTGTTTCAACCACATCCTCTACTGTTTACTCATGTTCAGTCTCATATTTGGGTTCGTATATCTGACACTATCCTTCTGTCTAAATGTGCCCTCGTTTCCCTAAGTTCCAACATGATCCTCTCCATATCCTGCCTTTTCTACACACATATCGGCCACTGAGCAAGGTGCCGAGACAGTTCTGGGGAGCAACCGCACTGGGAAAAGGGGCCCTCTATGCTGACGAGATGAGGATCCCAGGAGCTTACTTTTCTAATGCCAAGGGAGAGCAGTCAGGGGGTTGGGGCCCTCCCAGCCTCACTCCTTGTGGCCCACAGCCCCATTTGGCCATGATTCCCATCCCTCCATGCCTTGTCATCAGTTAAAAGCTGAGACCTTCCAAAGCCAGAAAAGAGCCTGGAGGAAGCTCAGGTAGATGCAGGAGGTCAGAGGCCTGCTGAGGCAAGCTCACTTTCCCTCCCTGGATCGTTGAGACACTCAGGCCAGGGGTGTCCCTCCCCAAAGGCTGGACTGCCTTGGGGCTTCCATACCAAGCTACTAACCTTACTAGAGAGCCTGTTTGTCTTTAGAGACGATCCTCTGGTGCATGGTGCAAAAGAAAATTCAGTAGTGAACAGGCCAGGTGGGTGCAGGTACCTCCCTGCCCTCCCGCCCCACTGCCCTTGGCTTGGGCCTTGGAGCATGAGATTCGCAGCATCCCCTAGTGCCCCGAACCCCAATCCAGTCTTCTCCACCTTTATGGGGAGGGGCAGTCTCCCTGCCTAAGCTTTTGGATGACAATGAGGATGAGAATGAAAATGAGCCACAGGGCTGGGTGAAAGTGCTAGCAAGGGTAGTCCCCTGGTGAAAGACAAAGGAACAGCCCTCATGGATAACTATCCGGACGTTCCAGGAGCAGAGCGAGAGAGACTGGCATCCAGAGTGAAGCAGGACCAAAAATCCACAGCAGCATGAGCAGGCTGCAGCCCAGAGGCCAGGGCTGGGCTGGGTCACAACTTCCAAGATGAGAGGTCCCTCTGGAGGAGAGGGACTTTCTGAGGCTCCCCTAAGCTTAATTCAAGGCTCTCATCTCTGACCCTAGCCTACCTCCTGAGGTATTAGCTGGGAAAGGCCCGGCCCCTGCTAGACCAGGCTTTGGCAGGAAGCCACTCCCCAGTTCTTACACAGTTCACGTATCGAGACCTCGTAGAAGGACAGAAATACCGGAAGAGTGTCCGGGCCTGGAAAGTCAAGTTCGACTCTGTGTTCTGTTCCTAATGAGCCGTAGGACCTGGGGAAAATTACTTGATCCTTCAGAACCTGAAATCCCTACTCAAAGTGAGTACTTTAGGCTCGTCCCACCTATAAACTTCTTGTCCAAAACCCTGAACCTGTTTCTCCTCTTCAGTTCCCTAATTCCGTGAAGGGTCCCACATCCATTCGGTCACCCAAGCCAGAAACCTGAGTGTCCTCCTAGGTCCCTCCCTCTCCTCCACCCCTCCCAGCCCGTTGCCAAATTAATCCTCTCCTTGCCACGCATAAACCTCACTACCTCCCCTACTGGTCTACCTCAGTGACTTCCAAATTTCTGTAGTCTCCCCTTCTCTTCTTTATACAGGCCCCTAAAATGTTATTTCTAAAATGCAAATCTGATTCTGTTCCTTTTAGAAATCCTTTTGCAGTGCTCCCTCTCCTAAAAGGTAATGGCCCAAGCCCCCTGCCTCTCAGAGCCCTTCCCCCTCCTAGCCTCATCTGCCACCCCTTCCCACCAACACACGTCCAAGGTCCTAACCACAAATACATCCACGCCTCTGCCCATCAGGCTTCCTCTGCCTAGACCGCACTTTCTTCTGCTCCTGTACACAGGGCGTTAGCACAAATGTCATCTCTTTTGTGACACGTTCCACCCAAATGCACATTCTTAGTCACTCCCTCCTCAACACCCCCGTAGCACTTCTCAACTTGTTCCGTAATTGTCTGTGTACCTCTCCCGGACCAGACTGTAAATCTTGACTATTCATCTAGGAATCCCCCTGCCCCGCAGAGCCTGGCCCAGAGCAGGTATCCATAAATGTTCTATCAAAGGAGTAAAGGAAGCAAGGCCTCCAGTGAAACAATGAATGTGCAGGTGCAGAGTTCAGGCCCAAGTGCGACAGGACCACGAGGGAGGGGTGCTGTACTCATTTTTAGAGTCGGCAAAGCCCAAACAGAGAAGGGCACAAAGTTGTGGGAAGTGAGGCTGACCTTAAGAAGGAGCCCCGGGGCTGGGAGAGGACAGGACAAGGAGAAGTTGCCCCACTGCACACACACTCTCACACACACACACACACACCCAGCTGACCAAGCAGCAGCCAGCAGGCAGAGGTCAAGGTAAAGGCAGCAGAAAGGGAAGGAAGGGAGGAAAGAGAGAGAAGAGAGACAGCCGATACCCCAAGCTCTCTGAATGCCCAGGCATCACAGCGCTGCTGTCAGAAGGGGGTGAGCCAGGGTAGGGCCCCATCTGGAGGAAATAGGAAGTGCTGTGGCGGTAATAAACAGGGTGGACATGGACGGTGGTGATGGAGGTGGTGGAGGAGGAGGTGCTGGTGGCGGCGGGAGAGGAGCAGGAAGAAGAAGCAGAGGCAGATGGAGCGCTGGTCCCGTGGCCTTCAGAACTGAAAGACTGTCCAGATGAAAGGCTGCGCATTCGCCGCAGAGAGACCCGGCTTGTCAAGAAGTGGCCAGCCTCGCCCTCTACCAACCTCTGAGATCCCAGGCCATGCTGTGGCTCCGTCAGGCGCTGCCGGACACTGCACTGCAGGGTGGGAGCTGCAAAGAGAGGGAGGAAAGGGTGAGGAAGGGCCAGCCTCCTTTGGGCTGGCAGGCAAGCAGGTCTGCCCCTGGAGAAATGCTTGCTGCGGCCCACTCTGGGCCCTTGGTGCCCAATCTGGAGACTGGGGCACCTCCTCCCAAAGACCTCCCACCAGGGCTCCTGAAAGGAAGGGGAAATTCATGATGAGGTGCCCAGGGCAGTTTTAGTGGCAGCTGCAATGGAAGGAGACCGAGGGCCACCATGACTAGAAAGGAGAGGCAGGGCGGTGAGTGGGAGGACACAGGCAGGGCAGGGTGGGACAGGGGGAGGGTGTGGGGCAAGGTCCGGGAGAGCACTAAGAACCAGCCTTTCTAGAAAGCCAACCTCAGGAAATAATTCGCAATGTAGACAAGGATTTATACACAAACACGCTCATCACATCGGTATTAATAATTATATGAAAGTACACATAAAGTTGGAACAAGGGGAAAATGATAGTATATCCGAATGCTGGAAAACTCTACAGCTATTAAAAATGCTGCTTAAGATTTGAAAAACACAAAAATACCTATTAAAATGCTCAGGGGAAACAAAAGGATACAAAATTAGACGTAAAAGAAATACCTCGAGCTATGGAACACAACAGACTAGAGTCTGAAACAAAGCCTTTCCACTTGTAGCCGTGACCCTGTGCAACTTACTTCCCTATTTTAAGTCCTGATTTATAAAATCCTGCGGGGTTGCTGTGAGGCTTCAAGAGAGTGCATTTAAAGTATGTGGCACAGTTCATGGCACTCAACAAATAGTAGTGGTCATTATTACCTTGACCACATAAAAAATTATTAAAAATTCCACAGACTTCAGAAGACTGTCAGAGAAGATGCTCAAATAGGGTGAAGCTTTGGGTGCCTTTTTTTTATGCTCATATTTACACTTTTCACTTTCCAAATTTCTTCTAACAAGTGTACAGACAACAAAGAGCCAGCTCTTGGAACAATGCTATAGATCAGGCTCTTGGCAGATAATGGCCACCATGCCCAGTGAAGGGGATATGTGGACACCAGGTGACTGGGGAATGTGCTAGAGCAACCCCCTTGGGCTCACTTCCAGCTCCAGCTGGAAAGAGAATTTCTACCTTTGTTTTTGCTCCTCTACCCTGAGAGATGGGCTGCCCTGACTTCTCCCTAAAGATGGGAGAAAGAGCCAGGTGACAAGGGTGCCAGAAGCCACGGAGGGGCTGCAAGGGAGAGAACACAATTCCACAGTGATGGAGAGCTGGGGAGGCAGGGCTTCTATGACTGGTGGCTTTTAAGGCATGGAAGAGAGGCAGAAGAGGAAGAAGCAGCATGGAACAGAAAGAGGCAAAGGGGGAAAGAGAAGAAAAGGGAGAAGGGAGAAAAGGGAGAAAGGAACTTTCCTTCTCTCTTTCCATCCCAGCCCAGCTGGAAGAAGGGCCACCAGGACTTCTGTCTAGCTGGGCTGAAAAGAGAAGCCCAAGCCTTCCATCACCATGGGTGTTCTCTCTCTAGCCCTCAGCTGAGCAGGCTGATTCTTCTCACCCCCGAACCTCTCCCTGCAGTTAGTAGGGGCAGTGCTGAGGGAATAGAGGGAGCAGGCAGGGGAGTGAGGCAGGCAGGCAGAAGGGACTCATGGGGTAGGAGTGCTGGTTTAGTCCCAAAAGTCGGAAAAACAAAAGCCCCAAAGGGGCTCCTCAAACCCGGGTATTTCCAGAGGGACTGATCATCCGAGCCGGCGGATGTTGAGCAGAGAGAGCGGTCACTGAACCTACGCCCCATCAGCCAGGCAGCATCTAGGGTCCAACAGCCAGGCCAAAAGGAGAAGAGAATCTGATTTACAGAGGGCTTCAGCCCACCCTTCAGTGGGATAAAGGGAGGGCCAGGGGCAAGGGGTGGGTAGCTCAGAGCTAATGAAGGTCCCTTCCAATCCATGGAACACAGGAGCCTTTAGGATCAAGACCTGCCTGCCAGTGATCTTAACCTCGTTGGGCCTTTGATTAAAGCCCTCATAGGATATCACATCATGGTGACAACGCAGCTTGGCTGGAGGCAAAGTATTGCTGAACAAATTTACAAACAAATCCTGCCTGGAGCTGGAATCCAGCCTGATGAAAGAATGTGGCTTTCTGAAAGTGAGCCCCTAAGCCAGCCTCATGGGATATGGGCCCAGGACCAAAGCTTTTCCTTAAAATCGCCTCTGATCCAGAGAAAATTTCAACCAGGCCACTCAGGGGTAAGCCCCTCATTTGCAAAAGATTTCCCACAGAGTTATCTCTTTGACTTTGCTCTACTCAGCTCTCACCACTGGAGGGGAGAAGACGGGGAGAGAAGGCCCAGGAAAGGGTGCAAAGGTCCAAGAATTCAGGTGGAAAGCCAGACATGCTTGTGCAGGAGATCCCTCCAGGACAAGAACGTCTTTCTGGCTTGGCGGACTTAGGGCTATGTCTCTTTAAGGGACTATTGCTTCATGGGGCCTCACACAAAAAGGCAGAGAGAAAAAAGATATCATCCCATTCATTCACTTTAGCAATTAAGAATAAAGAATATAAAAACGAAAACACAGGGGCGCCTGGGTGGCTCAGACGGTTAACGTCTGCCTTCGGCTCAGGTCATGGTCCCAGGGTCCTGTGATCGAGCCCCACATCGGGCTCCCTGCTTGGTGGGAAGTCTGCTTCTCCCTCTCCCCACTCCCCCTGCTTGTGTTCCTGCTCTCGCTGTGTCTCTCTCTGTCAAATAAATAAATAAAATCTTAAAAAAAAAAACAAAAATGAAAACACAAATAAAAGCACTCAAGAGGCAAAAATGAATATCATTTTTATATTATGAACCACTAAAGGAGATTGTTTTTATAAAGGCACATGGGGAAGAGAAAGGAGGATAAAGGAATTTTAAAAACACAGAGTGAAGGGAGACACACTGAATACAGTAGCCCCAGAGGGGCAGACACAACATACAGCGAGAAAAATCCACCAAGAGCACAACCATAGAGGAATATCCTGATGTGAGCTGTGCGTCATGACCCAAGGCCGGGCGCTGACCTCGCTCCCTTGGTATCTGCCCCAGATGCTGTTGAAGCACAGCAATGGCCAACAACTTCTCAACCCGGGCCTCAGAGGCTCCTTCCCTCACGCCCACCCAGGCGGTCACCTACATTGCATGGACAAGGGTGACACAATCTCCTCATCCAAGTCATCCACGTCATCCGTCATGATGAAGTGGGCGGGGTTGGGGCGTGTACTGCCCATCCAGCTGGGGTCTATGTTGAGAGCAGCCACCAGGGAGTGGATGCCGGGGTTGTTGACAATCTGGAAGCCACAGAGGATCTCAATCTGCTGCCAACGATGCAGGCGTTCCCGCAGTGCCGCCGTCACCTCACTCAGAGCTTGCCTGGAGCACAGGGGACACAAGTGAAGCCATGGGTGGCTGGGAGCCCCAGCAGGAATGAGGCCTCTCAGAGGAGCAAGCGGGGGAGGGGGGCGTTGCAAATAAGAACACAATTAAGTCAGGCACTTAAGAGTAA